TTAGATGCTAGGGTAAAAGTGCGTATGGCTCGTCTCCAGTGTGAGAGGGAGGAGCGAGATAGGGATTTTCAGCTCAGGAGGGAGCTGGAGATCAGGAAGCAGGAGCAAGAGCTGGAGATCAGGAAGCAGGAGCTGGAGCTGGAGATCAGGAAGCAGGAGCAGGAGCTGGAGATCAGGAAGCAGGAGCTGGAGCTGGAGATCAGGAAGCAGGAGCTGGAGGCAGACACAGCTGTCCGGATGCGTCAGCTAGAGCTCCAAGCAGCTGTGGTGGGTGATTCAGCAGTTACACCTTCTGGTCCTGCTGCCTCCTTTGACGTGAGCAGGCATATTTCTTTGGTCCCTGTGTTTCGTGAATCAGAGGTGGATGTCTATTTTGGTGCATTTGAGTGCATTGCTGCTGCTCTGCACTGGCCAGAAGACGTGTGGGCTATTCTGTTACAGTGCAAGCTAGTCGGCAAGGCTCAAGCGGCTTGCTCTTCTCTTTCTGTCGAGGACAGTTTGGTGTATGAGAAGGTGAAAGGTGCTGTTCTCAGGGCATATGAGCTGGTGCCTGAGGCCTACAGGCAGCGTTTTCGCGGCCTGAAGAAAACTTCTGGCCAAACGTACGTGGACTTCGCGAGGGAGAAGAAAGCCCTCTTTGACAGGTGGTGTAGAGCGTGTAAAGCGGATGACATTGCTTCAGTGTGTGAGCTGATGATGTTAGAGGAGTTTAAACACTGTGTACCGGAGCGTACGGTAGTCTACCTGAATGAGCAGAAAGTGACTACCTTTCAGCAGGCTGCCATTATGGCAGACGAGTTTGCGCTGATACACAAGAGCGTTTTTTTTTCAGCGTGATCCTCCTCAGCGGGACGCTTATCGTAGAGCTCCTGACAATTACGTTCCCTGTGCCAGTGGTCCATTGTTAGGTCCCAGGATAAACAGAGCTTGTCATTTTTGTCTTGACCCAGGTCATGTGATAGCCGACTGTGCAGCTTGGAAGAGAAAGCAGACAGTGGATGGCAGGCGCCCAGAAGGGGTGGGTTTGGTTACAACAGTGTGTCCTAGTGGACGGGCCACTCTTAACAAAGGGCCTGATGAGTGCTTGAAACCGTTCATCTCTACTGCCTTTGTCTCTCTGTCAGGAAAGGTGGAGGACCAGCGGCAGGTCACGGTGTTGCGAGACAGTGGTGGCTCACAGTCATTCATCCTTGCCGGTGCCCTGCCCCTGAGTGCTGAGTCTGCCTGTGATGCGGATATGGTGGTGAGAGGTATTGAAATGGGTTCTGTGCCCGCACATCTTCACAATGTCCATGTCCAGTCTGAACTGGCTACTGGTTTCTTTCAAGTTGCTATGCTCCCCAAATTTCCTGTCGACGGTGTGGATGTCATAATGGGTAATGATATAGCCGGGGGTAAAGTGTATCCTCAGGGCAATTATCCTCACTGTAGGGCTCTAACAGACGTGTCACACGTGCTCAGTCTGTTTCTCTCCCAGGTCCCGACACTAAGAGATTGTGTTTCTATTGTCTTGACCCTGGTCATTTGGTGGCGGAGTGTGTGGCTTGGAAGCAACAGGTGGCAGCTTCCAAGCATTCAATAGTATGCTTGTGAACTATGTAATGAGTGTTGTTGGTAACTGTGACCAAACACTTGTTTGGTTTTATGGGGGGAAGTGTTACGTGCCGTAGTGTTTGTGTGGTCGTGTGTGTGTTTCTCTCTCTCTCCCTCTGACTCCCCAGGTGCAGCCTCTCCCCAGGTGCTCCTAATTCCAAATCAGGGCCTCCATATAGGACCGGAGGAAGACTGCAGTGGGCTCTCCTTTTTTCCTCCTCTGGCTGCATGTGTGCAGACCTGTGTCTTGCCGATTGATAGGAGGGGAGCTCCGTGATATATATTGATGCTGTATTATTCTGTGCAAGTTGGCTGGTGAGCCCGTGTTCCTGTTGTGTTCATTAAACGACTTGTTCGTTACACAGAGATCGGTTTTCTCTCCTTTTTGTCGTGCTTGGTCGTCCTTGTGTGTTGTTACTTCCCTTTGTACCCCCTAGATTTAGAAGGGAACGTAACAAAACTGTAAAACAAATTGGGACATTCAAATCAATTTGACAAGGCTGAATATATTCCTATAAGTATGGAAAAGCTACCTAGGGCAAAGGTCAGGTCATATCTAACTATCACACCTTTTCCGTTTAAATTCAGAAATGGTGCATGGGTGACCAGAAAGGGGCAAAGTCCAGAGAAGGGTTAGCTTAAAACTAAATCAGAAGGTTTGGATACAGTGAAGTCAATCTCTGGGAACTTAGTTTCACTCCAGAGGAGAGGACCGGTTCACCCGAGCCAACTGAGTTTAGAATCCAGATAGGAATATGACTGCGGCCTACCCATCCACTGTTGATGCTATCAGTCTCACATCACATGACATGTTTTGCACACACACGTGGCAGTTAATGTGTTTTCTTCCACAGGAGAGGATAGCTTTTTGTGGGATCTTCCCGCAATAAGTTAGAATTTGTCTTGGTAAATTCTGTACCAAGGGATATTTTATAGAGCAAAAGAGGGAATTGAAATCTGAGTAACAAGCAATAGCTCCAATGCAAAGGATTTAGCAGTAGAACTGTTAGAATCTATAGTGAATTATGCAGAAAGATGGCAAGACGAAACTCTGTCTATTAGCATATGGATCATTAGAGCTTGAATGAAGAATACCTCAGTATCAAAGAGGAAATGGAAAATAACCTTTATATTATTTTTCTCATTGTTTTATTTTATTTTACACTATTAGTTTTCTTTTCAGTTATTTTTAATTGATATACGCTTACACCCTAAAAGAGTATTCATTTAAATTGGATTTTTTTTTAGCACATCTCTCCTTCTTTTTTGCTGGTTCTCACACAGCATGAAGGTGTAGGGCTGTCAGGTCGTTAAACTGATAAGAGTAAATTATGGCCCAGTGCTTTCTGCCATTAGAGGCCAACTGAGTAAGAGGAGAAACAATCACCTTGCTGTATATACAAATTCCAGAGCAATATGGAATACACGACCCTCTTGAGAAAACCCTTGGGGAAGTTTTTATTTTACTGAAACAACTTTTTATGAATCAGAGAAATGATTTATACTTGATTTTAGCTATATTGTTGAGATTAATACCTCAGCAATCTACCAAGAGGATTTGAACCTGCCTAGCGGGGAAACTTCAGTCACAGTGCCTCAAGTGAAGCCAAGTCCTGGACCCAGGAAACCTGTGCAGCATGGATCAGCGGCTGAGTCACCTGTACCTCTGTGGAGGATGATGATTCTTCCAGCTCTGTGGGACAGGCTGCATCTCTACCCGCTGAGCCACTCAGATCGCAGTGGATTTCCCAGAAAAGGATGACGACTACCTGATAACTGCATGGTCAGATATCAGACGCCAGGTAGCAGCAACCCTACCTACCCCTGCTATTGGTCCACTTCACCATCTCCAACCCGGCGACTTCGTGTTGGTCAAGGACTTCCGGAGAAAGAGCTGAAAATCCAACCGTTGGCAAGGGCCCTACCAGGTGCTCCTCGTCACCCAGACAGCGGTCAAGGTCACCGAGAGAGCCACGTGGGTCCACGCCAGCCACTACAAGGTCTTAGTCACAGGCCAGGAGAGACGGTAGAAACAGACGACAACAAGTGACGTGCCAAGTGTTGAGAGATTCATAGTATGAAGTGAATACTTAAAACGAAAGTTAATTATAAATCATATATGATCAATTATATTCTTGTATAACCCATAATGAAAATACTTCATATTTTAGGTTTTTCTATATTTACAGCATAAACAAAACACCAGTGGTTTGTTAAGTTGAGTGTAAGACCTATAATGATGTATGTCTTACTCTCTGATAAGAGAGTAGGCAGTTTTTTCCCTCTCCTCTCACAGGGGTGCACAGGGAGGGGGGCTCCTGACTTAAGGAGAAACACATTGGGGCCTCAAAAAGGAGGTTATGTCATAGCCATAGAAAATGTCTAGTCATGTTTTAGTTTTTTTTTACACAAACATGGGAAGGTGTGTCTTATGCCATAGCCAATAGAAGTTGTTGGTTGGGGATAGAGGAGGTGTTTTTTGGGGTTTCGATCCGGTTTTTTGAGCATAAAGAGACTGGTTTTTTGAGAGAGCGCGAGAGAGAGGGGGAAACCCCTGGTATACTCTCTCCCGGTAGGCTCTGGCCCTCAGGGCTGGGTAAATGGCTCTCGGAAAGGTTATCCTGGAAAGCGTTATTAGGACGTACGGGAATCTTAGACCTAATAGCTTTATTTAGATCTATCCTGGAAGGCGTTATTAGGACGTACAGGAATCTTAGACCTAATAGCTTTATTTAGATCTTGGATAGATGAGAAAAATGAATTAAGGTTTTAGATAAAAATATAACCCCAGCATGATATGTTGCGTATGATTATAATGTGTTAAAAGGTAAAAACCCTGTATTAGTTTGGATCTATTTTTCTGCACATAAACTGATCTCACCTGTTGGATTGGGACAACTAAAAGAACATATTTGCCCTCCTCTCCTGCTTCAAAGGTAAGATTGCACCCTGCCACACACACTTAGGTAGGAGCACACTCCATTTACTGATATCAAAATCCTTCGGGATCCCTTAAACAGATTAAAAAAGAGTTGTCTGAATAGAAACAGCAGTTAATTGAACCTGGTTCTTCGGGGAGTTATAGAGGTGAGATCTTGCTGACGTTGGTGGATCTGAGCCAAGCAGCAACCTTACATAGACTCAATAACTTCGGTCAGGTCAATTAGTAGGTCAGAGTAATTTACCGGAATAAATTATCAGGACCTCTCCGACTCTCAACACTGGAAAAGAGCTTTATATATCCATTTACCATGAAGTTCATTTACTCTAACTTCCAGCATCTCAGTGAGCAATCAAGTTCTTACAGTTTCTACGTTGGGGAAGATCTTTGTATCAATTTACAACTATATACACTTAAATACAACAAAACAGTTGGTGCAAAAGAAATGTCTTGAGTCATGAGATCATTGACAGATTGTTTTGTTTTCAAACCTTTATTGAACTTCATAACAATTATTACATATATTATTAGGAGCTATTAGATGCTGCTCTAAAGAAAGCTTTATTAAACTGCATATATGTCCCAGCAGTTTGTACACACAGAGTTCAGCCCAGAGAACATGATTTCTCCATTTTACAAAGGAACGAAACATTTCTGCCAGAAAGAGAAAGTGTATCGATACAGCACATCAACAAGACAATGCAAAGGGCTTTACAAAACATCACAATACTTACGACAAAGAGCAAAAGAAACATTTAAAAAACACATTTTAATACATAGAAAAAACATTTATTAAAAGAGTGAGACACTTGATTACTGGGAGATTCTGCAGATATACGGAGCATTATAACTAAATGCTGCTTCTCCTGTAAAGGCACAACCAAAGTGTAGCCGCGTCACTACCAACATTTCAACCACACGACTGGAAGATACCTCTTGCTTCACTCATGTAATGTCCCCCGAGACCAGGGACATTACAACAGGACAGGAAGTGGTCTCCTCCTACAGAGGACACAGAGACACTGAGGAGTTTAATGACCAGAACCCAAACCCAGCATACAGAGGTTCAGTGAATGTGGTTCTGAAGGTGTGGAGGTGGGTCAGTGTGTCAGAGGAGACTCTGTAGAAGGAGAGAGAGCCAGCAGGACGATCCAGATACACTGCTACTCTACCAGAGGAGGAGGAGGAGGAGGAGGAGGAGGAGGAGGAGGAGGAGGAGGAGGAGGAGGAGGAGGAGGAGGAGGAGGAGGAGGAGGAGGAGGAGGAGGAGGAGAAGGAGGAAAAGAAACAAAAGGAGGAGGAGGAGGAGGAGGAGAGAGACAGGCCTGTTTCTTTGTTATTGTGCCTGAAAGAGTAACCTCTATCAGAGCATCCCAGACTCCAGGACTGATTGTTCCCTGCAAACAAACAGTCATTACTCTCTCCTCTCCTGCTGATTCCTCTGTGAGTCACTGATTTATGAACCCCTCCTCTCCACTCGACCTCCCAGTAACAGCGACCAGTCAGAGCTTCTCTGCAACTCAGCTGAGGACAGGAGTCAAACCTCTCTGGATGATCAGGATATCGCTGCTCCTCTCTCACACGTGTCACCTCCCTGTTGCTGTCAGACAGTTTGAGGTATCTGTGTGCTGTTTTGGTGTCCAGTGTGAGTTCACAGGAATCTGATGAGAGAAAAAGACACAGCAGCATTTTATCATCAGACACATCTGAGGGATATACTACGACATATGTTCAACAGAGCCAGGGTTCTTCATCTTAGCACTCTCTAAACCACAGGAAATAGTGTACAACGAAGCTGGTTATCAACTGCTCTGTGCGCACTCAAAGAAAAGGGGCTATCATCTAGCCCCAAAGGATTGATCGCCACCTATCTCTGCATTTAAAAGAATACAAAAAAACTACTACAAAGGCATAAGGCAAGAAAAGATTGGAGAAAATAAGTAATGAGATGCATACAGTATGTGCTACTAAGTACTAACCGTTACTGCTCCAGTTTATCTGTATAAAGTATTCCCTCAGCAGACACTCTACTGCTCATTGATTTAATATAAAGTCATGCTATGTTCAAAGGAATTAGTTAGTGAGTGGTGGTATTTGCCGGTTTCAAACCTCAACTCTGAACATAAGTTGGTCCAGAGCAGGTTATGTCTGTACCATAGGTTTCCATTGCATTTGGTTAAAAGACAGCTATTTTTTATATCTATAATAAATATGATGACATAGTCTCATGTTGTCAGTTATCTTTCATGAATAAAAACACAACTGACTGTTCATTAGTCAACTAAATCCAGACTTACACTTCCTCACACCGGGTTCTAAGCTCTGCTCTCCATAATGGTCCACCCTAGAGAAAGAAACACAGTCCAAATGATCATGTTAATTTCACACATCAAGAAAAATAAAACAATTATATAGCTGGCATGTGTGTAATATTATAAATAAAACTAAATTGTAAAAGTAATGTGTTAGATTTCCGTGTGAAAATAAGGGATAGAAAATATGTGATTAAATGCTGTTCAGCAAACACAATGGCGGAGCTGCAAACATTACTGAAGTTACAACTACTACTGTTAGTCCAGGAAACACACTGTGTGAACCGAGGCCTAAACAAAGACCAAAGGTTACCCAGTTAGCTGTTTATGTGTGTTTGTGAAGGAAGCGCCACCTCATGGTAAAACCCGGCAATCTAAC